ATTTCTTTACAGACTCTGAAACACCTAGGGTGGCAATCAGAAGCGCGACCAGATAGTTTTGACTACCAACCTAAGCCCCCATGGGGGGAATACATCCCAAAATGCAATGAGAAGATCCCGGGTATACCAAACAAGAAAATATCAAACGAAGTGGTGCTGAAAATGACAGCGACGGAGTACATTGAAACAACATTTAAAGATTTTTGGCAAGTTTACACGGTTGGTTCTGTAAATCGTCATAAAAGAAGTGGCACAGCCGCCTATAATGTCCCAGCCTATAACCTTGAGTGGAGCGGCCGTATCGACCAAATGGTGTCCTCCACGGCCGCAGAAATAATAGCAATTGTGGAAGCACTCCATACTCTTAAGAGATTTTCACCGCAAAAAGTAGTTGTGCTCACAGACTCTCGGTGTGCACTGCAACAGCTAAAACAAGGAACATCGGAAATCGCGGTGGCTGCTCGGTCTGCGGCAGAATCCCTTGAGGACTCCGGTTTCAAAATGTGTTTTCAATGAATTCCCGCCCACGTGTGACTCGCTGGAAATGAAAGAGCGGACAGCCTTGCTACGAACGCACACAATAAAGAGCGAACAATGTACACACCTGACGATCCGAAAGCCTTCCGCATACGTGTCAAAGAACATCTCGGCTCTTTGTCGGAGGCAAAAAATAGCCAACATCAGCCCTGTCTTAGTGGAAGCCTACGCCGCAAAGAGGCAACTCTACTTTACCGACTTCGCACCGGAAGCGCTCACACCAGACAACTTTCGCACAAATGAGGTAAGGTACCTTCAGCCTCCTGCGACAGTTGTGGTGTCACAGAAGATTTAAATCACCTACTTTGTGATTGTAATAAATTCGAGAGTCATCGAAAAGACTTCGCTCAAGAACTTAACAGGCGTAACTTCAAGATCAACGACATTACAGATTTAATATATCCAACTGGAAGAAGAGCTCGAAGAAAGCTACTACAGACCCTTTTCCTAAACTTCCTCCAGGCGACTGGACTACAAGCACAACTATAGAATGAAATACTAAGTGCCATTTACACTTGAAAGACCGGAAGTGTGCGTGACTGGACTTGTGACTTATCTTCGAAACAAGACAAACACTAAGATTTTTTTGTTGTTGTTGTGTGCGTGTGTGAGTCTGTTCCTTTCTTCTTCAATCATCATTTATTTCAGTTAGTTTTATTCATTTTATTATTTCATTTTCAATTCTGGGCGGGACAATGCCGGCCTAATCGGCAAGGCTAAGTCCGCCCAAATATTTTAATAAAGCGTCACCTCTCTCTCTCTCTCTCTTAAACACCAGAAACCAAGGAGCCAATAAACATTAATAAATAATAAATGAATAAATAAATGACAACTAAAAATAAATAAAACTAAAGAAATAAAAAGTTAAAAACAAAATTAAAAAATAACTTTTTAAAATAAATTATAATTAAAAAATTAAACTTAAAACTTTTATTTTTAAAATGTTTTTCAATTTTTTTAGATTTTATTTATTTTTAGTTGTCATTTATTTATTTATTTATTTATTTATTTATTAATATTTATTTTTATTATTTATTTATTAATATTTATTAATATTTATTGGCTATTTAGTTTCTGGTGTTTAAAAATTTAAAGGGAAACTGAAGCGGTTCTCTATTTGAGAAAAAACATTTCAATGGCCTTCATTCTACCTCCAGAATGAGGAATATCAAGATTATTTTTCAATTTGGTGCACGGAGGCTTCAGAAATTAATTTCTAAAGTACCGCCGAAGCCCCTCCTTCCCGGGGCGTGACGTCACACTAGGAGCCTTCGGAACATCTGCAGCTCTCGCGCATCTTCAGCGCCTGTCAAAGCTATGCACGCGCACTCTTGCTATTTTCAGAAAGGTCAGAAAGAGACGTCACGACTGGTGTCAGTGCGGGGAAATATACCTGGCAAGCTTGCGTTGCACGCGCTGAACACACGAGCGACACGCGCTTGGCGGCCCGAAGATCCTAGTATGACGTCACGACTGGTCGAATGTTTTTTTCGCTTTTTCTCGCTTTTAGTTGCATCTTCAGGGAAAACAAAAGTGATATTCAGATTCACGGGATAAAAATACGCCAGAATTCACCTCTAACTCGTTTTTTTCAAGAAGTGTTTCAGCTTCCCTTTAAAATGTTCTCATTAACGGCGAAGGAGAAGAAGATGACGATTTGAGGAAGGAGAAATATATCACTGAGTTGTTAGTCAGCGCTGCGAGTCTGTTTTCTTGTGTGCCTGCGGGTGTGACTGTATCCGCGCTGTTCCATCCAGACATGAATTACTAACTAGCCCAAGCATCCACATTATCAAGCCATCATCAACCTCGAGGCTGTTTGTTTCTGTCCTGTCTTGGCTTAGCTTGCTTGGGTCTCTCGGATGGGTGGATAATTGCAATCATGGTACGCCTTGTAGTAGGCGGTAGCTTGCACCACCTAGATTGAATGTAGCCAATGGAACTGAATTTCGAAATACTGCCCGAATACAAAAGTAATAATAATTGTAGTGCGTCCTGGTTTTATTAAAGAATTGTTTGTTCAAAACTATATTGAAAAGATGTCCTAAACTTACACAACTACATGTAATAATATGTATGTGAAATTTAGTTAAGCAGTAAACATGAACTGTGTATACTACCGCCATTTCATTCATTTATTTTTTTTAAAAGCGCAATCAAATTGAGGACGTATATATTACCTAAAACTTTGTATCCTTCGTCCTCAATAAGTTCTCGGAAGGACGTTTCTAGGATGATCCAGCGACTGTCGTCCTCAGGATGTCCTGAGGATGCCTTGAAAACCGTGAGGACGTTTGTACCTTCTGAGGACGTCCTGAGGATGTCGGGTGTTGTCTGGGTAACTTCTTCGGATTAAGGCTCACCTTCATGCACGATGGTGGCACCTGTGATCGACACAGCACCAAAGCAAAACACGAGGCCAGCCACTCGCCTCACACTACCACCACACCGCGAAAAAGGCAAGCGCGCTATGCCGCCGACACCGTGGCCGCAGAGGATGGACCTCATGCCCGCGGCGCGCACAGCTCAGCGCCCTCCGCGGCCGGCGCGGAACTAACTACTCCTCATTTGAGGCTAGAGCAGAGGCGTAGACTTTCCATTTTCCCGGGGGGGGGGGGGGGGGGGGGGGGGGAGGTGCTTTTCCGCGCAATTTTTTTAGAGCGCAGCTCTTAGGCGCCCGTTTCCGGCTTGAGCGGCGTCGGCGTCGCCGTCGGCGTAACCGCAAGGTAACGTGGCCCCTCCCAAGGTCACCCCAAGGTCACGTGACCCACCAAGGCCATCCTCTCCCCCAGGGTCACGTGACCTTCCAAGGTCACGTGACACCCAAGGTCACAACTCCCCAAGTCACGTGACCCCAGAGGTCACGTGACCCCCAGAGGTCACGTGACCCCTCCCCCGGTGTCACGTGACACACAAGGTCACGTGACTCCCCAAGTCACGCGACTCCCCTGAGGTCACGTCACCCCCCTCCCCCCCTCCCTCCGAGGTGAATATTTGACGGTGAATATTTGACGGTGAATATTTGACGCACATCTCCGAGACATTTGGCAGCAAAACGTACTACGGTAAGTAGAGACAGCGAATGCAATTGCGTAAAAACTATACTCGTCTACCTCCAGGACTTCTGTTGCAGCTCAAGAACAGGAGGAGACGGACCCCTTTTACGTGGAGGAACTTTAAATGATAAATAATTCGTACATTATTGTGAAATGTAAGCAGGCCCAATATATCCATTGCCGTGGACTGCATCATCATTTCATAGGCCGCACATGAAGTCGGTCAGCTGCTCTAGACGAGGGTGCAGTAGTCTGTACAGCTTTCGCACAGTGCATATTACAGCCTAAAGTGCTTCCTCGAGGGCTTGTGCAGATATCCAGCTGATTTTTCGTTTCCGTCCGCGATGGTCTTTGCATGGTTAATCAGAAGTATTCTGCGGAACTTGTTGCAAATTAAACCAGCCAAGCGCTTTGTGTGACTGTTGTCAATGCCCTCTGGGCAACTTAGGATTGGCGCATCTTCAAGATAGAGCACAATGAGTAGTTGCAGAACTTCGTGCACATTTGTACGCGGTAGAGTGACTTCAATCGGATCGAAGTTCAATAAACCGTTGCCAAAACGAGAACCTACGAAGCTCGAACACCAGCGCAAAGCAGCTCGAAGGGACTCTCCGAGTGGGATGAAGTGGGGTGAGGTCGTTGCGCCCCTGGCGGCAAGCAAGTGAACTACATACGGAGAAAAAATGGCATTGACTCCCGGGCGATTGCAAAGGCCGTAAGAAGAGAAAGAGAGCGCGCGCTTCCAGTCCGGCCGTGGTCAATGTCAGTCACCGTGCAAGCGCAGCCGTGTCGCACGGCTACACTTTTCTAACGCATGCGGCTCTTCGCGGACGACTGCGCCATCTATCGCTTCATTGGGCGCGTTAAGTTGTGACTCCACGACTCCGGTTCGGGTGACTTCGTCGGGGTCGCTACTAAACGGACTTTTGGAACAGCTCCGGATGGCGCCCTTTATATAAACTTCCGATTACTTCATTTATCTTTTTTTCTTCTGGCGGGACATCGCAAAATGGCAGGCTGCCGTGGAAGCAGACCAAGCGGACGTAAAAGTGATCGGTGCCGCCTTACCTTCTCGCCAGAACTAGAGATTGAAGCTAACGAAAACACGCTGGGATTCCGTTTCCCATGTATTTTGTCAATGAAGGCAACGTTGGCATTATTTTGTTTACATGCCACTACTAGAAGCTTGTTACATGGCACGTAAACAGCGTCTCGGTAAGGACTATAGCCGGGGGGGGGGGGGGGGGCATGAGCCCCGACGCCCCCCCGTAGTCTACGCCTATGGGCTAGAGAGATGTTGTTGTTGTTGTTGTCGAAAACATCTTTTATTTTATTAAAAGAAGGGGATAGGAGTACCAGAAAGAAATAGGTAATATTGATCGAGGAATCATTTCTGGCTCGGTGCCCCTAGTCCGGGGCTCCAATCGCGGCTTGCACCACCGTCGCTCTCCGTACTAACCAGTGTTGGCTTCCCGGATCGCTCCAGTGGAGTGCCGCGTTCCAGCTGTCCCTCGTCGGGTTCAGAATCGGATCCAAACCTTTAATGTGCTTGCACACCCACATCAAGTGGTACAGGTCCCCCCAAGTTGGTGAAGGATGGAGTTGGGGGTACCATTGATGGAGCTTCATTGGCGTCTTCATGGTTCCTGTCTGCAGTCTTCTATAGAGGTGCTCCTCCTCCTTGGTGAACTTCGAAGGTGGCGCTGGAAGAGTCATCCTGGCTTCCCTAATTGTCTTCAAGTATTCGTTGTACTTCATGTTGGGGTCAGGGGAGTGTGGTTGAGGTGCGGACGAGTCCCGGTTCGAATGAAAGGCTCGGGCTGCGGCGTTTGCCGCCTCGTTTCCCTCGACACCCGCGTGACCTGGTGCCCAGACGATCTTCATGCTCGTAAACTGCGCCTTGGAGAGGATTCTCGCCGCCTGTTCGCCTATTTCACCCTTGGCGAAGTTGCGGCACGCCCGTTGCGAGTCTGTGATGACGGTGATGTGGTCTTGTTTGGTACCTGTGGCAGCCAGAGCAATTGCGGCTTCTTCTGCGTGTTCTGTGAGGGTCGTGGAGACCGACGCCGTCCTCACCACGTTGCCACGAGGATCGGCCACGACCAGGGTGGCGGTGTTGCCTCTTGGTAGGATGGCCGCGTCGGCGTACAGGGTTCCGGGCTTCTTGCTCCATATCCTGGATATGGTCTGTGCACGAACTCTTCTTCTGTTGGCGTTCCTTTCCGAGTTCATGTTCCTTGGGATCTTCTCGACCGTGATCTTGCCTCGTACAGTTGGTGTTAATTCTTGTTTGGGTTCTTGGTGTAATATGCCACCCGGTGTGGCCAATTGCAGCCGCTCCAGGAGCCATCCTCCGTTCGGTGTTTCGCTGAGGCGCTTGATTTGTGATATACGCTGGGCTTCCCAGAGTTCCTCGATAGTGTTGTAGAGGCCCGTGCTGAGCAGGTCATCCGTGGCCACGGACTCTGGTAGTCCAAGGGTGCACTTGAAAGCTCTTCGAATGATGACATTGAGTTTGTTGACTTCGGTCTGAGTGAGTCTCAGGTACGGGGTGGCGTACATGACCCGAGATACCACAAAGGCATATACCAGCTGTATAGCCTCCTTCTCTTTGAGTCCGGACCACTGGTTCCTGATTCTCCTCAGCATCCCGACGACGTGCGTCGTGGAAGTGGTGAGCTTGTTGATGGTGCTAAAATTTCTTCCCGACTGGCAGGGGATCTGGCCGAGGATCCTCACCTCCTTGGGCTTGGGTACTTCTTGTCCGTCGATGTAGTTGTTCAGGTCCGCAGGTGGTTGTCTGCTGTACGGGTTCTTGAACACCAGAAGTTCTGACTTTTGGGGAGAGCATTGAAGGCCGCAGTCTTTAGCGTACGAGGCCACGGCATTCGCTGCCCTCTGGAGGCTTTCTTCGACTTGGGCGTCGCTTCCAGACTTGCACCAGATGGTGATGTCGTCGGCGTAGATGGCGTGTTCGATGCCGGGAATGTTGTTAAGGACCTCTGGCAGTCCCTTGAGCGCGAGATTAAAGAGTAGTGGCGACAGAACTGCACCCTGAGGAGTCCCCCTGGGCCCTAGCTGGTGCGGGTCCGATGTGTGACTCCCGATGTTCAGGATAGCGGTCCTGTCCGTCAAGAAGCTCTTGATGTAGTGGTAGGTCTTCTGGCCACAGTCGATGCTCGCCAAACCTTGCAGGACGCTCTCGTGAGTGACGTTGTCGAAAGCGCCTTTGAGGTCCAGGGCAAGGACTGCTCTGGTCTGCGTCCTTGATGGTCTCTCCAGAAGGTCCTTGTAGAGCCACAGTAGTATGTCTTGGGAGGACACGTGCGGACGAAAGCCAAACTGCGTGTGTGACAGCAGTCCTTGCTTCTCCACGTGCGCCACCAGCCTCGAGTTGATGATGCGTTCAAAGGCTTTGCCAAGGCACGAGGTCAGAGATATTGGTCGAAGGTTGTCGAAACTTAGGTCCTTTTTGGGCCTAAGTTTCGACAGCAGAGGGGCCTCAGTCCAGTGCCCCTCTGCTGGCGTACTCCAGAGAGGACTGGATGTACTCAGCCAGGTAAACTTGGTCTGATAATGTGGTGGCCGTAGTCAGCCACTCGGGGTTGGGGGCGAAGGACAGGTAGGTGGGGTTAGGGAGGGGTGGGGGCGGGGAATGGCAGATCCATAAGATGTGATGGGTATCTAGGCGGTCGCCACAGTGGATACAGGGGGGAGGAGCCTCAGGGAGTAGACCTCGTAGAAGGTGGATGCAGGCTGGGGTCGGAAGAGTGTTACTTTGGGCGTTGCGGAGGATGGTGCCTTCTTGGCGTGTGAGGTGAGGGTGAAGGGGCGGGGGGAAGACTCGACGGGCTTGTCTATTTGACTGGAGGGAAGGTAAGGCCACGGGAAACGTCTGGGCAGATAAGGGGATGCCGGGTACCCGGTGAAGCTTCTCGCGGCCGAGCAGGTCTGCTTTCTGGTTTCCCGGCATGCCCCCGTGACAATCTCAACGGGTGATAGTAGGTCGCGCTCTATTTGTTCTGCGATGGCAAGTGGAAGCGAGTCGCGTATAAGTCGCCGGCAGGCAGTCATAGAGTTGGTGAAGATGATGGGAATAGACGAGGTAAAAGAGCCTGCGGAGGTATATCTGATAGCCGCTGTAATGGCGTGTAGTTCCGCCAAGCATGGGTATATGGGATGAAGAACGGCGGTGTGTGTTGTACTGAAATGATGATCTGTGACCGCTATGGCCATGCCAATATCAGTCGTACTGGCATCTGTGTAGAGGTATGTGCGATGAGGAGTGTGGGTGGTGTAACGTGTGGAAAAGGCAATACGTCGAGCGCGTCGTACTAAATTCAGCATCGGGCGCATGTGTCGAGGGAGTGGTGCTATGATAAGATGTGAAAGGGTCGTGGTGGGGAGAGCTGCTTCTTTCGGAGGTGGTGAGGATGAGACATTATGGCCCAGTTGAGTTAGTATGTGTCTTCCCTGGGGGGTGAAAGGAGGCGGATTTCCTGACGGCGTTTGTGGATAGCAACGAGCTGATCTACGGTATTGTGATAGCCCATATCGAGGAGGCGGTGGGTGCTAGTGGTGATGGGTTGGCCCATGGCGAGCGTGCCTTTACGAATGAGAGCATCTAGTTTAATTTTTTGTCTTCGTGTGAGTTTGGTGTACCGGAGGTGGTAGCGGAGGCGGGATATCAGTAAGGCGTCACTGAGCCTCATCATACTCCTTTCTTTAAGTCCGCGAGAGGAAGTGGAGACGAGGCGGAGCATGTTCAGAACCTGTTCGCCTTGTTTGAGGACATGATTAACCGTGGTTGAGCCACCGCCATCACGCTGGATGTGGAGTCCTAAAAGGCAGATGCTGTTAGTCTGTGGGATGGGGGTACCGTTTTGCTCAAGGTGAATCTGTGGCGGTTTCCAGCGCGGCCTGTGAACTAGAAGCAGTTCCGACTTAGTAGGAGTACATTGTAGGCCCATGTGGTTGGCGGCTTGTTGGATTCTGTTGAGTGCATGTTGTAGTGTATCCTGTATGTGTCCTATTGAGCACCGATTTATCTAGAGGGTGATATCGTCGGAGTATATAGTGAAGTGTATGTCTGGTATGGGAGCTAGCGCTCGATGTATATGGCACATGGCGAGATTGAAAAGAGTAGGTGAGAGTGCTGAGCCTTGTGGAATGCCGCGTTGGGAATAATCGAAGGTAGGGTATGTGATTCCACCTAAACTGAGGGAGTATGTGCGTCCGCGTAAGAAGCATTGGACATAATTGTAGAGCCTGGTGCCGCAACTGGTTGCCTAGAGCTCTTCCAGCGCACTGTCGTGATGGACGTTATCGAAAGCCTTGTGGAGGTCGATTGCGAGAATTGCCTCCAATTGGGCAGTGCTGGGAGTGGAGAATATTTCCTCCTGGAGTTGGAGGAGCGCGTCCTGAGTCGAGATGTGTTCCCGGTCGACAATGAGGGAGTGTGGAAGGTGTCCTGTATTGTCTAAGTGAGTGTAGAGTCGGCGACGGATGACTCTCTCCTTAAGCTTTTCCGCAGATGAGGTGAGCGATATGAGACGAAGGTTTTCAATATCGTGTTGTTTGCCCGGTTTGGGAATGAAGGTGATCATGGCCGTCTTCCACTCGTTTGGGAGTAAGCCAAAAAACCAGGACTCATTCATGACTGCGAGTAGCGCCTCGTAATCCTGATCTGTGAGGTTGCGCCGCTGCTGCGGTGCAATTCTGTCGGGTCCCGGAGCCAGGTTGACTCGGATTTCCGCTACTGCTTGTTTGAGTTCGGCGAGTGTGATGTCCTCCGACAATGAGTGGTCGTCAGGTTTGCGCCCGGCGTAGTCGCTGTACGCGGGCTGCATGGGAGTGATGATGTACTTGTCACGGAGAGCCTGAAGAAGCTGACCGGGTGTTGTATATTTATCGAGGAGTTTCTTCCACCATGATCGGTATACACTAGTGCCACTAATACGCTAGTTACACTAGCGCTCTTAACTGTCATTAAGCCAACAACAGCTGATCCTATCGCGATGGGCCGGGGTTACACAGCGGCCCCAACTCTCATTTAACCGCTAACGATAACTGAGTTGAACTGAGGGCCTACCGCATCGCAGTCCATGGCCAGCACCAGCGAGCACTTACTATTGAGGAAGATTGGGGAAGGTATCTGGAAAGCTTCGTAGCAGAAAATATTCTCGGAAGAGGTATGATTCGGAGCCAGAGCTGCCGCTAGAACGATCACGGCACGTCTCGAAAGCCAAATCTTCGCGGGGGCGGCCAGTGTAATGTCGGTGCCAAAAAGACTTTCGTTGTGTTTGCCTTACTTGAATTCGTGTAAAACGTTCTGAGTGTTTTTTGTACGCTGAAAAACTAAGTTTATTTTATTTTGTTTTAGGCGTTTATAATGAATTAAAAGTGCGCGTATAATTTATTGCCATCGCTATATAAAAACAAAAGATAATGTTACATCAGTTTTGATTTCGTTTTGATTTCAACTGTGTCCCTTGACGCGCGTCTCTAGTGGGGTTGTTAGGCCTACGTACCGCGTAACACGGGACAACTTATTAGTTGAGCTCAGTGACAGTTCGGAGATGTGAACGATCGTTGGCTTAATGACAATTAAAGGAGTGATGACACGTTTTTTTTTTCTTTTGCTAAATGCTACTTAGAATAACTTCCTAGCGTTAATAATCGAATAAACCTGCCTTAGCTTTTCTTTCTAGGCAATGACAATCGCCAAAAAAAGTCGAAAAATATTAGCATAGTTCATTCCCTCAACCCACAGCCAGGCCCACAGATAGGGAGCAGGCCAAAGCGGCCATTTGGCCTGCTCCCTATCAAATGCCGCTAACATTACTCACAGTCACGCGCTAAAATGGGCAAAATAGAAAACGCGTGCTCAGCTCCAGGCATTGTCAGAGTTCAGCTATTCTCATCACCGGAGTGGTTGGATGGAGACGAGCCACTACCCGAGTGTCCTCGAAGGCATTGATTGTTACGAGCCGAAGTCGAGTGCTCACGCAGTTCTCGTGTCCAATTCATGAGTCGCGCTAGACTGTCGTCAGGTGGGTGATTTTTATTTCACTATTACGTCATCAAGATTTGCCAAAGCAAAACTGAAATAAACTTAGTTCCCTTTTAATGTCGCAATTTCACCGCGACAAATAAGCTTTTTTATGGTATATTCGGCTCGTCACCTTCGAGCGCTCCAATCATCCGAGTCGGAGCTACCAGATCCCGAAGCGCCTTCGCATCGGAGCGAGATAATCGGCGCGCCCAGCCGAACGCTCCTAAACTTTTGGAAGCGGCAAGCCGAGCGGATAGAGGGTGGCCTGCGCCACTAGAGGACGTCGCGAGCCGCCCTCTAACGGACATTTTGCTTCTCGGATTCAAGGGGTTCAGCAGTATTCAGTCATCCATCCATCCGTCAATCCTTGAAAAATGGCAGCCGTCAACGCGGACGCTGATAAGGACATCGCAAGCCAGCCGTGACAAGCGGAAGTTCCTGCGAAACTATAAAAAAAGACAACATTACAGCTTGAAAACACTCGTACTTTTGTTTTTACCGCTTTGTCCGAGTAGGTTCGCACTATAGACACATAGGCCTTGACCTTGGGCATCGTACAAGGTTCGTAAAACAACTCGGCAAACTTCGCTTCGTA